TCATGATATTCCTTGTTTTTCTTTTGTCTACATAATTGGTTCTTGAGCTAGATCTAGAAACAAAACCTCCCAATTGATATATAGATTTGTTGTTGTTGTTGCTTCAGGTCCTAGAGAACATACTTGACAACTGAGTGTCGCTTGACCAGGAACACCATGAGACTCCCTGATCATCAAATCATATCGCAACATCAATCACTGCGTCACTGTCAAGTTTCAAATTAAAAACTTCTGGAAATTTTCCCTCTGTTGACATCTTTTAAAAGAGTTGTTCAATTATCTGGATTTCTTAAAAATGAAAAATTAACCCATAAAACAAATTCAAGCTCCTCATAACTTCATCCATTCAGTTGCTTCAGACAAAAAAAAATCCCATAAAACAATTATTAATGTTTGTATTACCTTAAATACTTAAAGTAATTTCCATCTCTATTTATTAACTCCCTTTATCCCTTCTGTTCGTATTAACAATCAAATAAAAATGTCGACATCCCTGAGGTTGATAAGTCAAGGTCAAATATGAGAATAATTATTAATTAACTTCTGTTTAAGCATCCAGTAAATGGCATAAAGCTTTTACAGTCGTGAACAAGGAGCAATAAAGATAACTCTTTTATATTCATTTAATGACTAGAGAGATTTATTGTTGCCCTTGTCAGTTTATTGTCGGAAAATATTCGAGCGTCATTTTTTAAAACTTTTTTTATTCTTGTTGTTGTTTTTTTTTAATTTCCTATTGGCATATTTATTTACTCGCTATTAATTTACAGTTTGTTTATAGAGACGGCCCAAGATTATGCCCCTGTAAAAATGATTGAGGCAGGGGCAGCTATTGTTGCTGACTGCGCATGGATTTTCCCCATTCTAAAAAAAATTTCGAACATCAATAAATTCTTTACAATTAAATACCATTTGATTAGAGGTTTTCTCAGACCGAGACCAAACAATATTATCCATGTCTAGATAAAAAGCTCACTTAGAAACCTAACATACAAAGGAAATAAAGAAAAATTATGATTGAGATAACTCTTGTTAATGATGAGTTCAATGTTTGTTTCCCTGTATGTTCACGAGACTTAGAACGAGTTTTTATACTAGATTAAAGGTGTAAGAGAACTGTACGTTATTGTGACCACAATTAGACCGTAAATATATAGATGTTTAAATTAATGTCATTTTGCAAGGATAATTATTCCAGCATAAAATGTACTTATACTCTTTAACATTTCGTGTATTTTTTTTCTTCCAATGCTATAAATAAAGCTGTCAATTCTCTATATGCCAGGATGTTTATTTTTCCACAGCTGAACACTTCTTTCTATTTTGTGTTTAAAGAAAAACTTTGAAAAGATATTTGGCTTTTGAATAATCCTAGTATGAACTCGTCCGCCAATGGCAGTACAGGCAGCAAGATCCAGGTGCTTATGTCGGATGAGGCCAAATTCTATTTCGATTTTTGGTTCGGCACCATCGTCACCACTCCTCTATCCATCCTCACCATGATCGCCAACGTTCTCAACATGGTCGTGTTTGTCAAGATGGGCTTCCAGGAGCGTGTCAACTACACCCTGTTCTGGCTGTCTGTCTGCGACTTTGTCACCGCCTGGACGGTGTCGATAATGAGCAATTGTCACGTCGGCGACATTTTGGCGTTCGGAATCGTTTTAGACGCTGACTCAACGGCCTTGATCGTGGCCTGGACGCGCTGCATGTTCGTGGATGTGTCCAGCGTGTTGACTGTGTACGTTTCGGTGGAGAGATGCATGTGTATCCTCAGGCCTTTCACCTTCAACACCACATTCCTGGTTAGACACGCTAAGGCGATCATGACGGCACTCTCGCTCTTCGTGATAATCAACTATCTTCCGATCTTTTTCACTTTCGACTTCCACCTAGAATTCAACCTAGCCACCAATACCACCATCCTTTTCATGACCTACTCTGACGACAACCTTCGGTTCCAGCTTTACAACGATATGGCCTTTGGGTTCCTCTTCACTGGAATGTGTCAGATCTGCATCTTCTTTTGCGCTGTCGTGATGCATCATGGGCTGCGGAAGACATCAACGGTTCGAGAGAGCGCCAGTCAAGAGAAAGGAGACTCAAAAGGGCGAGGGGTGAAGGGGTCAGCCATGTCCGCGAAAGAAAGACGAATGGTGAGGATGATACTTATCCTTGCGTCGCTGTACATGGTGATAAGTGTCCCTCAGATTCTGTTCTTGGCGGCCTGCCACATATCGCCTGATCTGACCGCAGAAGAGAACTATAACATTCACATTAGCATATATAGTGTTGGGATTTACTTGGGTGTCATCTACGGATGTTTCAGTACAGTCATCTACTTCAAGTGTAGTACTAATTATAGGGCCGTTATATTTCGCGCCATCGGATATTTCGTGACCAAGAATAAATATGAAAAGTAATTTAGAATGTTGTTTTTTTTTTCTAAATAAATTTGGTTTAATATCCATGGAAATATGCAGTGAACTTAGTAAGTCCCAATGATTAAATATCTTAAGAAAAAGTTACTTAAAACTAAAGGGATAAAAGTAATAACTTTTTTTTCCTAAACATGTTTTTTTTTCTAGTAGAGGTTTCTTAGTGGTTTATTATTTTAAGAAATAATATTTCTTTATTATATTGGAATAGAAATTGCTTTAACCTAGTGCATTGCACATTAACAATATATTACGATGATACATACATTGTATGTTGGTTTATATCTTAAAGTTGACTCTTAGTTAATAACATGGGATTCCATAAAAATCAACATATTTTTTTGTGTGTGTATGGTGACTTATATCTTTACTGTGATGATAAACTATTAAAATCTTAACCCGAAAGCAAATTTACAAAATAAATTTTTCTAATACATGTTTCATACGTCATAATGGCTTCACAGTTGTTACTGTAAGAAATCCATCCACCAAACACTAAGCATAGTGATTCACAAACTGTATTTCTGTCATTAAATTAGTACTTGTATTCAAATGTATTTAGTTGATGGAATCTTATTGACATATTCAAGTTTCATTGGGCATGGAGAATTTCTGTAACGCCAAGGCTTGGCAAATTCGTCTTAATACTTCGAGCTGTGTTGTTTGGTCATGAAATGTTTTAGTAACAAAATTATGGCACACTTCACACGACTGTGATATCAACTGATAAAGAGGAGCCCTCAGAGCTCACACACAACTAAGACTCAAAACAGACTCGATTCTTAAAGACAACCTGCACCCATTAAACCACTGCTACATCATCTGCTCTCCATTAGGACTAAAACAAAGAGAGAAATTCCTTCATTCCACTATCGGTCAGAATGTTACAAAGTTATCTACAGTCATCGAGAAGTACTTACTATAGGTGTCTAGTTTGCCGTTTCTGTAGCAACTTCGAGAAGTACATAGAAGTCTAAATTCATAAAACGCTGGTTATGAGTGTGTGTGTGTGTGTTTCGTGTGTGAATGTTTTTCGTATTAGCATTCATATTGATATTGTTACAGAAGTTGTGCTGATGTGGTCGATTGTAGTCAAACGGAAATTTCATTTGATTGGACTAAAAAAATTATCTTATCTCTTATTTCTCTTATAAGAGCTACTAACAATTTACGGAATGCATATTTTTGTTGTAAAAACGAAAGAATGTATTTATACGTACGACACTGCACCAAACAATAAAACAATATGTAATGAGCAGTGTTTATTGATTCTAAATACTCACAAATGCTCCACTAGTCGCTTGACCAATTGAAGGGCTTCGTCCATAGACTCTGATCGAGAGACAAGCCCTTCACAAACCATCAATAACAAAACCACTGAATAACATCTTTTAGATCAGACTGGCGTTGAACCCAGATACATTGTTATATTGGGCAACACCACTGACGTGCGTCGTCACAACCTGTGGGCAGTGGAGACCAAGAGCTTGTTGACTCGTCGTTCATATAGCGTTTGGTCTACACTGCCCACAGGTTGTGATGTTGCAGGTCATTGTTCAGGCCTTCTATGACTTTTGGTCTAACTAGAACCATATCTTCATTGCAATTACTTCATTGAGATGCATTTGATTAGTACCAAGCTTATAATAGTAATAGCACCACTAATAATAAAAGTGTATCTACGTATCTCGTGGTGTCATGCCGTCAGCCCGCTTCAGTGGCGTAGCTATGGTGGGGGGATGGGGAGGAATAATATGAAAATCCCATAGGCCCCCAAACGAGTGTTCGAATATTTGTTTTACATTTAATAGTAACTATTACGCCATTATCTCATGTCATGGGGTCGAATGACAAAATGCAGGGTCACTAAAGAGGTCAAGCTCCCCAGCCCCCAAATGATGCCAAATTCTAGCTGCGCCACCGGTCTGCCTAACAACACAATCATATGTGCATTACGTCTGTGGGGAGGTATGATTGTCATTGTTGATAGCTTGTAGCTCTGCAAATCATGCCGTCTATGAGCGTCCCAATCTAAATAACTTTAGACAGACCCCAGTACCACTGCATACAAACATAAGCAACACTTTGTATGGCAGTGTGGGCAAGTTACTGTTACTTGGCAACAGACTCCAAAAGAGTTTACAGGTCAGCAGAGAAAAGTTGACTAGAAGAAGAAGAAGAAGGAAAAAAAAAAGAAGTACTTCATGGCTTCTGATATTCATGCCGAAATGATTGAAACCAGCTTTTTTTTTTTAGCTACTTGGGTGGACCTCTTTGATGGCCGCTTCTGAGTTTGTGATTCCACACAAACTCTCTTTATAATGTTTCTTTTTTTTTTTAGTCTTAAGTTTCTTTTTTATTCTCAATTTCTTAGTACTCAATTCCTAACACTTCTGACATTAACTTCTATATTAATTCTACAAGTTTAACGAATTTGTAATTTTACAGGCATCTTATTTGTTTTTGTGTTTTTTTCTCTTTCGACTTAAAAAAAAAAGTTCGTAAAAAGAAAAAAAACAACAACTTAAAAAAACAAAGAGTACAGCGGAAAACGACAATGAAGTCTTTGTTTGCTACCAAATCTTTATTCAAATCAACATATTTCTAGACTTTCTGGTGTAAACTAAGAATGGACGTTCAATGGTGTAAAAACAAAGAAACCAATATGCATTGATTTTACTACCTCGATGGAATTTATTTTTAAAGAATGAATGAATCACTAGTTTACATATTTCTGCAGTTATCTGAAGTAGCCAATAGAAATAAATCACTAATTTACATATTTCTGCAGTTATTTGAAGTAGCCAATAGAAATAAATCACTAATTTACATATTTCTGCAGTTATTTGAAGTAGCCAATAGAAATAAATCACTAATTTACATAATTCTGCAGTAATTTGAAGTAGCCAATGGAAATAAATTTCTAATTTACATATTTCTAAAGTAATTTGAAGTAGCCAATAGAAATCAATCTCTAATTTACAAAATTCTGCAGCAATTTCAAGTACCCAATGAAAATAAATCTCTAATTTACATATTTCTGCAGTAATTTGAAGTAGCCAATGGAACAACAAACTTGAAGAAAAAAAAATTGTGATGTGAAATTTAACAAAAAATGGGGATGAAAAAAAAAAGGGGGGGGGGGGACTCAAGCAAAATGTTGAACACTCAAATTAAACGCTTAGAGACCGTCATTTCTATTTAAGTAGATCAGACTTCAGATGGTCTAGTCTAAAGTTATTACAGCTTGTTTTCTTCCTATTCCATAACGTGTTAAAATTGACGACACAAAAAAAGTGACCGGAAAGATGTCTGGAAAGAACAAGTCCTCTTCTTACCGCGGGAGACAAAAGAGTTCTTTGTGAAACTATTTTTAAAGAAAATATAAAAAAATGACCTAAACTTCAATATTTAAATAAACTTACAATATAATACAAACCTTGCTTTCGAAAAAAAACAACACAATTCTATTACTATTGGTAATGCTCATACATGAAGGCATATCTATAAATAGCAAGCAATTTTGGTGTATCCGGTGTACAGAATAAAGGAAGTGTTAATAATGATTATTTTGTGCACTTTTTAGCAAAGCAGAACCAAATTTTTCTAAGCGTTTCTATTTGAAGTTATTTAGTTGGCAACATTTGAAATTCCGTGACATTGTTTCGTTTTTTTTTTCAAGAATCTCCATTATTGCTATTTCAGTTTTTCATAAGATACGATTAAATGCTCAATACAAAACGACACCAACGCATCTCCGGCCTTCAGGGAGGTTTCTTATACCAACGTGTGTAATACTATAAGCATATACCTAAAATGAATGAACAAAAGAGCTGACACAAGGACGATGTAAGAGAAAGCACACAACATTATTGGAGAGGAAACACTTTGGGGACTCAATTCAAAAACTGTGAAAGTGCAAGCTGTGTCTTGTGTTTCTCTGTTAGACATCTTGGACAGTGTCCCTGTAGGCTGGACATGGGTCGTTCATCGCATCTGGGATAAAGTATCAAGGAATGTTAGGAGAATTCTCATGATAATAAAAGTGAGAAAGGCAACTCTGGAGAGAAACGGAATGAACGGTAACTTTAGTGAGAAACAGAATGAAAGGTAACTTTAGTGAGAAACAGAATGAAAGGAAACTTTAGTGAGAAACAAAATGAAAGGTAACTTTAGAGATATACAGAATGAGAGGTAAGTTTAGAGAGAAACAGAATGAATGGCGATTCTAGAGACACAAAGAATGAAAGGTAACACTAGAGTAAATATAATGAAAGGTAACTCTAGAAAGAAACAGGATGAAAGCTAAATCTAGAGAGAAACAGAATGAAAGGTAACTCTAGAGAGAAACAGAATAAAAGGTAACTCTAGATAGAAAGAAAACAAGAAAAAGGAAAGAAAAACACAATTTTTGTCGTACATCTCAGTGTTGCAAGATTTAGCTCCCTTTTTCTAGATAAAAATGTTTATTGATTACTACTAATTGTATAACTAATTAGTTTATTCTTAACTTGATTCTTGCATTGTCATCAACCATTAACAATTGTATAAAATTTCAACTTAATCCTTTAGTGGGAAGTGGAAAACACTTATACCAGACAAACAGATTGAGTTGTTAAAGCTTTGCTTAAAAAATAAAACGCTAGAGAGAACGAAAGACAACTCTGGAAAAATGAAAGACAACTCTGGAAAAATGAAAGACAACTCTGGAAAAATGAAAGACAACTCTGGAAAAATGAAAGACAACTCTACATGAAGAGAATGAAAGGCAGCTTTAAAGAGAGAGAGAAAGAAATTGAAACAAGAAAGTTAAAGAAAAAGATAAAATAAATATCATCAACAACAAATGCTTACAATATGTCATTGGTGTTAGATGGCTAAACAAAATCGCAAACTACTGTCACTGTCAATCAAACAGCAAACACCAAAATGATCAACAGTTCAAAAGAGGAAACTCTGAAAATATTACAAGAGCCTCGAGACTGGAACTCACATGAAGAGAGAAAGAGCCGATAGACTGGAACAAGTAACAAAGATGGCGGAATGGAGATGGACCCAACTAAGGGCAATTACCCAGAACACAGTCCGATAACTAAGTGCTACTAGCCTGCTACGACCCTATGCTTCACTGAGAGTCAAAAGTCAAATAAGTCAAGATTGTAGTCACATTAAGTTTCAATGTAGACTTTAAAAAATATCTATCTATATTTTCAAAATAGCAATCTATCCGGAAGAAATGAAGAAATGAATAGTGAATAGCATAAACGAGAAATGGACAAACTCTCCTTGGAATCACAAGTCGATGCCTATTATAAGCCATCCCGACAAGACCAACGTCAAATCCTATGCCTCAGAACCGGAAACAACAGAATGAGGCAATATATGTTCCGGAAACTGAAACTTGAGACAAGTGAAATTGGACTTTGTGGAATGTCACCAGAGAAAGCAAGTAATGCCGACCATTCCTTCAAAACTTCATTTTTTATCAAGTGGCCCGAACAAAACACCGGCCCCCAAAACACCCTTATAGAGAGAAAAGTATTTGTAAAGATGCCTGATCTGAAAAACCACTGCGCCATTTATCTCAGAAATCGGTTCTAGCCATCTGAACCCTCCAGCATAACAAACAGAAGAAGAAGAAGAAACTATATTTAGCTCTAAATCTTTATATCCCTATGTTCTAATGTACAATATGTACTCACTGTCAGCTATGGAGTTCCTACACACATGCTGTGTCTGATAATTCTGCTTGAGGGGGTTGTAAACATTTCCAGATGACTTAACAGCATGGTGCAAAATGCCGTTACCAATGCTTGGCCTGTGATGACGAGGGCAGCGGCAGTCCACCTGTGATGGGTATCAGAGAAAGCTCGTGTACAATTTGTAGAAGCATGTACGTTCATTTTTATTTTTAAGTGATCACAACATTGTGTTTTGATTCGTATAGTCCCCCCTGGTTAACTTTTTGTTAACAGCAGATGAAGCTAAAGAAAAAAAATGCTTTAAAAGAAACAAAACAAAGCTCATCTCAGAGAAAGAACCGATAATTGCTGTCATTTTTTCTCAAGATGGCAGGGTTTAGTTCCATCTCTTGCTATATGAAACAAAATTAATTAAATAAGTTCTAAGTTTTAAATATTTTATTGATTCCTGTGCTGTCGTCGACTATCAATAATTCTGTAAGATTTCAACTTGAGTCGAAAATGGGAAGTGGGAGGAAAAAAACGTAACAAAACGTAATAAAGGGATTAAATCCATAAATACATTCACATCTCTCATTAAGTAGCATTTATTCCCCTTATTTCGATATCAAACAAAATCATGTTATCAATAATTAATTAAATATTAGTTAGTCTTTTGATTCAAGTTTCAACTTGATCCGAGAATGGGAAGTGGGAGAAAAATAACATCTTTTTACCAGACAGACAGAGAGACAGACATACAGACCTACAGACAGAGTTGGTATAAGCATTGTAATAAAATATCAATTTGTAAACGATGCACTTTAGGTGACTGACTGTGAACGCGACAAACATGACGTTACACACCGAGACGCAGACTGTGGCTTTGAAATAGTTGGAAGAGAGGCTTTCATAGCCTAAACATCTTTGATAAGTGACACAGACTAGACTGTTTCTTATTAAACTATTTGAATTCTTCCCATGAAGCAGACACAGTCAATCTACGTTCATCTTGTGTTTATTTTCTCCTACTCTTCCTCGAGCTCAACATAAATAATAATTCACCCGTACAAACTACAAGGGTACACTCAAAATGTTAGGAAAAAAAAAGACTTAAAAGATTCTGATTCCGTCAAAATTCAGATATATAATTTTATCACTTTTGTAGGGGCCTCTTTCTTTTGGATACCCCTGGGCTGTAGCTACGTCTGCCCTCTTTTGAATTCGTCCCTGATGTTCATATTTGATTTAACTTGCACCAGTTCATCGTCTGTACGTTGTTTTAAATTAACATTTTATTCAGTGCTAAAGAGTTTAGTATTTATGTGTGACACGCTTGAAAGTATGTAAGTAGTTCCGGTTACTTTAGTTCCTTCAGTAAGTAGGTTATGTTTTGGAAAATGTTTGACATGTTTCGGATGTTCCTTCAGGGTTGAAGATAGTTTACTTCCTAGTCCAAACCTCCCCTCAGGACGACGGGGGATGGGAGCTGGAAGGGTTTGAACTCGAGACAATCGATGAATCTGAACGACAGTCTACCGCGCAAACCTCACGACCAGGCAGTTATGTGGACAATACGCTACACATATGCTAGAAGTACCTATTACTTCATCCTGTAATAAATCACATGTCAAGCCATCTATTAACACAAACATTTATGTAAACCTAATTTTTGCCCAATCAAGTCTTATTCTTATCATTTCATGTGTTTTAATTTCTGGGGAATCCCCTACCCTTCTCGGGCCTGGCAACCAAATATTTATTATTTCTCATAAATTAAGTAGCTAGAGTTAACATTCAAGTTCTAACCTTACAAATGTGAGCATATCTAAATTTGAATTTAAATTTTAGGTGTGAGTTATTACCCTTTGATAGGTGTTTCGCGAAAAAGTCGGTGAAGATTGCTCCGTTACCACTGCCACAGTTCTGTCCCCAGTGGATCTAACATTGGCACACCACGGCAACCTACACACAGGTTCGCAAGTGTAAATTCTGAAAAAAAAATTAAATAGAATGTTTAGTATATTTATAATGTGAACAAATTTTTACTGATTAACATTTTAAAATTACACAATAAATAATGAATTA